AAACATTCATGCAGGAGATGAGAAAACTTTAAGAGTGTTCAGAAAAGCTTAGTGAGAGTAACATAGTTTTTAATTATTTGATTAAAGGGAAGGTAACTTGGGATTTTTTGTTCCTATCTGTCTGCAGAAAAATACAGTAGCATTCAGTGAAACCAACAAAATTTGAAGTAAACCATTTAATGGAGAAAAAATTTATGTGAGCATCAAAATTGGCCAAAGCAATGATTAAAAACCTGAAGATATTTTAAAAATCTGGCATTTTTTACAGTCAAGTCAGGGACCAGCACTCAAGCTGCAGCTAAGTTCTTGCATCTTCTTCACTTAAATCGTTTAATAAGTGATGTCACTTTGAGGGACAGAAAACAGGGTTAGATAAACCTCTCATGTAATGTGGTATGACAACATCTACATTATCTAACTGGAAGGTCTGTGTCATGACAAACAGAGTTTTCCAAAACTATGTTTTATTCTGGTGGTCTCCTTGGGGTAGTAGGAGTAGAACAAACTATTAAAATGCTATTTGAAGCCAGAACTTTGCTTTACATGATCAATATATATAAACTCAATAAAAATCAGCTTTCTGTTATTATTTCAGTTGCCATGATATAACATTTTTACCAAAGATGAAGTAGCCGACATCACTTCTTAAAAAGTATTAGTGAGACAGAAAATTCTCCATAAGAGTTGTGAGAAATATACCCTAGAAATAGGTAAATGATTCTGTTTACATTCAGAAGCAGGAGTGGCAGATATTTCATAAAAGATTTTAATTTCTGAAAATTATTTTGTTCAATGTTTATGGAGGGATGAGGAATAAGAATGACAATTCCTTAACAGATCATTCTAAATGCACAAAGTGAAACACAAATATCCCTATTTTATGTAAAAGATGTTCCACATTTCTTGGAAAATAGTTGATCCATACAAAAATGTGTCACCTGGAAGAGGGCCAAGGTTTTGTTGCAATGTATTTCTTCGTAGCAGGTAGTGTGCATCTAAGTTTCAAAAGGAAAATTTTAACTTGTGCTTTTCTTCTGTCCAGTTTGGGAAGAAGAAATGCCTGCTATGTGTAGAGGGATAGTACTACCATATGCATTCTTAGATGAATTCAAAGAGAAATGAAATCCTACCATAGAACAAATTGTGTGCCTATTTGTGCTTAGCACTGAGCTGCTCATTTTTCAATTTCATTGAGTTAATGATACTGAATACCTTATAACTCTTAACTTCTTGAAAGATCAGACTCTGAGCACTGTAGACCTAACTTTACAGGCATTTCTAACAATATATCTTTGAGTGACATTGAAATAAAGAAAACAAGGAGAAGAAGAAGGAGATGGAGAAGAAATTACAAAACATCTTTGCCAACTTCCTCAAACTATTTTAGAAAAATGATGGCAAAGGTTGAAGGCCTTTAAATTTTTGACATTTTCCCCTTTTATCCCAAGGAAATTTTTCCAACCAGGTTTGTTGTTTTTGTTTTTGTTTTTTTTAAAAAAAAAAAAAAATTAATTTTTAAATTCCTGTGTCAAACATGCTATGGAAGAAAAGTCCTGTGATGAACTTGAGATATGGCAAAGCCTTAGTAAGTGGGGTGTGTGCTATTTTTAAAAAGTTTGTGGACTCAGAGCCCTGTGCTGCTGTTTTCAGCTCTAAGCTGGCTGTGTTACTCTATGTTTTCTTTAAGTGTGATTTCATCGAGCTCTGTGTTCTGTCTGGGTGATGTATCTCAGTGCAAACAGCTCACTGTTAGCCATTATGTACCTATTAGCACTGATTGCTTTCTGATAGCACTTTGCCAGTTGGTTTCACTCACTCTGACAGGTTTGGTGCTTTGTTTAACCTTTAAACTTGTGGTCAATAACACTGCTGACAGAATCAGAGAAATAATTAAGGAAAACTTAGTCAAGGCATTAGAAAACAACTGTAACAAGGCAGATCTTTCTGGTGGGTTTGAGTTGTCAGTTAAAAGAGGAAAAGGTTGGGGCAGACGTGGCCACAGCACAGTACAGCATAACTATTTTCCATTTAATCTGCAAGAATCCAGAGATTATTACTGTTTTGCTAATTTTATCTTTCTCTCTGAAGGTTCATACTGTTTCTTAGGCCAGGAAATAATTTTTTTATCTGTTTTTTTACAGAATGTATAACATCAGTGAGAATACTTACAACTTAGGGAGCATTTTTGGTTTGATTTATAAGGGAAAAAGAAAACCTCAGTATTTTTAAACATTGTCTGTAGGAAAAAAAAAAAAGTCAAAGAATCACAGAATAAACTAAGTTGGAAGGGACCTACAAGGATCATTGAGTCTAGTTTCAATCCCTGCAAAGCACCATTCCCAAGAATCACACTGTGTACCAAAGAGCATAATTCAAACATCCCAAACTCTGTCAGGCTTGGTGCTGTGACCACTTCCCTGGGTAACCTGTTCCAGTAACCAAAAGCCTCTAGATGAGGAACCTTTTTCTAATATCCAGCCTAAACCTCCCCTGACACAACTTCATGACATTCCCTCAAGTCCTGTCACCAGAGAGAAAAGATCAGTGCTTGCACATCCTCTTCCCCACAAGAGGATGATTTAACTGTGATGATATCTCTCCTCAGTCTTTTTCTCCAGACTGAACAGACTAAGTGACCTCAGCTACTCCTCATACAGCTTCCCCTCAAGGACCTTCAACATCTTTGTTGCCTTCTTCTTGACGTTCATTAATAGTTTAATTTCTTTTTTATATTGTGGTGCCCAACACCACACATAATATTCAAGTTGAGGCTGCCGCAGAGCAGAGCAGAGCAGAGCAGAGCAGAGCAGAGCAGAGCAGGACAATCCCCTCCCTTGCCTGGCTGGAGATGCTGGCCCTGATGCCCCCCAGGACACGCTTGGCCCTCCTGGCTGCCAGGGCACTGCTGGCTCCTGTTCAACTTGTCACTGACCAGGACCCCCAGGTCCCTTTCCATGGAGCTGCTTTCCAGCATCTCATTCCCCAGACTGTCCATACATGCAGGGTTGCCCCATCCCAGGTGCAGAATCTGGCACTTTCCCTTGCTGAACTTCATATGGCTGGGGATTGCTCAGTGCTGTAATTTGCTGAGGTCCCTCTGCAGGGCCTCCCTGCCTCTGAGGGAGTCAACAGCTCATTTGTACCATCTGTGAACTTGCTTAGTGTCCCTTCCAGTCTGCATGCAAGTTGTTAATGAAGACACTGAAGAACACAGGGCTAAGATGCAGCCCTGGGGAACCCCCACTGGTGACAGGTCACCAGTCTGATGTCACCCCATTCACTGTCACCCTTTTTTCCTGACCTGTGAGCTGGTTGCTCACCCACCCCATGATGTGTTTATCCAGCTCTGTGCTGGACATTTTATCCAGAAGGATACTGGGAGAGACAGCATCGAAAGCTTTGCTGAAATCCAAAAGGATTACATCCACTGCCATCCCTTGATCAGCTAGGTGGGTTACCTTGTCATAAAAGGAAATCAGGTGTGATAAGAACGACTTCCCTCTCACGAAGCTGTGCTGCCTCTGACTGATGACTGCATTGTCTCTCAGGTGTTTTTCGGTATCTCCCTGAATAATCTTCTTTACCAGGCACTGACATGAGACTGACAAGACTGCAGCTTCTGGGGTCCTTCTTCTTGCCCTTCTTGAAAACTGGGGCAATGTTCACCCTCTTTTAGGCAGCTGGGATATCTCCAGGTTCCCAAGAGCACGCAGAAAGCATCTGGAGATGGTATGACATCAGGTAGCTCTAAGGATTTTTGGATATGTCCTATAAGGTCCCATAGATTTGTAGCAATCCCAGTGGAGGAGCAGATCCCACATAATTTCAGGGTCGACTGGGAGTTGATCATTCTCACAGTTGTGGTCCTCCAGCTCAGGGCACTGAGATCTCCTTGGTCTATCATCCATGTTGAAGACAGAGACCAAAAAATGCATTAATCACCTCTGCCTCATACATATCCTTGTTTGTGAGGTGACCATCCTCATCTTGTAATGGGCCAATATTGTTTGCATACTGACTATTGCCATTGATATCTTTGAAAAAAACTTTTTGTTGTCCCTCATGGTTTTGGCCAGCTTCAACTCTGGTTGAGTTTTGGCCACACAAATGTTCTTCCTACAGTGCAGCAGCATCTCTGTATTCCTCCTGTGCCATCTGACCTTGCTTCCACTCGGCATATAACTTCCTTTTTTTGCCTTATTTACAAGAAAAGAATCCTGTTCAGCCAAACCAGTCCTCTGCCTCACCTGCTTGACTTCTGGAATCTGTGAATTGTATCTCCTGTGCCCTTTGGAGGTGATGTTTAAAAAATGATCAGCACCAATGGACTCCAGCACCTGAAAAAACATTTTTCCAAGGGACCTTACTAATTCCCTGAGCAGCCTGATGTTTGTTCTCCTCACATCCAGAGCTGAGGTTTTCCTGGCACTTTTCCTGCTCTCAGCAGATTTTAAACTCAGTCACCTCATGGTCACTGTGGCCAAGACAGCTGCCAATCTCCACGTTGCTTATGAGATTCTCTCTTTAGATGAGCAGTAGGTCAAGGAGGGCATCTTCTGAGACAGGACCCTTAGGACCTGTTCTGTAACATTGTCATCCAGGCTTCTTAGGAATGTTTTGGCCTGGGTTGTACCAGCTGTGTGATGCTCCCAGGTAATTTTTGGCAAGTTGAAGTCCCCCATAAGGACAGTTGGAAGTTGGAAGTGTCCCTTAGTTCCTCAAAGAAGAATTCTTCAGTGTTTTTGTCCAGGCTGGGAAGTCTACAGTAGACTCCCATGATGACATCATAATTACTTGTTTGCCCCTTGATTCTTACTCAGAAGGTCTCTTTGCAGGAGCTCCATACATTCTAACCCTTCTATTTCATACAGTGCCACCCCTTCTCCTCTTCTGCCCCTCATGTTCCTTCTGAAGAGCCTGGAAACATCCATTAAGGCACTGCAGTCACAAGACTCATCCCACAATATCTCGCTATTACCACTGGTGTCAAATCTCTGGGATACAGAGAAAGCCTTGAGCTCCTCTTGTGTGTTCCTCATGCTCTGCATTGTGTACAAACATTTCAGGTGTGGTACATTGTAGCCAACACCTCCTGAAGCTGACTGAGGGATCCCATTAGTGCTCATTTCCTCATGTTTTGGCACAGCATTCCATTGCTCTTCACTGGTGAGTGTGGTTTTGTCCCTTTCCTCCTGCGTAGCTAGTTAAAAACTCTGTCAACAAGCTCCTGTGCCAGAGCTCTTTTTCCTCCCTGAGATAGGTGAATCCTGTCACATGTCAGTAGACCAGATGTGAAGTAGGTCTTCCCATGGTCAACAAATCCCAAATCCATCCACTGACACCAGCCTCAGAGCCATGTACTGATCTGATGGATCTGCCTATTCCTTTTGCTATTATTCGTTGTTTCTGAAAGAATAGAGGAAATCACCACTTGTGCTCCTGATCCCTCTACCAATCATATCAGAGCCCTGATATCTCTTCTGATTGCCCTTCAACTTCTATTTGTTATTTTGTTGGTGCCAGTTTGAACAACAAATAGCAGAAAGTCATCAGAGTACCTTACGAGGCTGGAGAGTTTTCCAGTAATGTCCTTTATCTCACCCCTTGGAGACAGCAGACTTCTCTGTGGGTTGAGTCCAATCTGCAGAACAGGCCCTCCATCCCCCTCAGATGGGAATTTCCTGCTGCAACTACCCTTCTCTGTCTCTTAACAGAGGAGGTGTTGATGTGGGTTCACAGCGCTCCAAGTTGCTTGTGTTCCCTGGAGCTGTTGAAGTGACCTTGGGTGGCTCCTGGAACTGCCCCCTCCTTGTGTGGTTGGCTGCTGAGGGCTTCCAGGTCCAGTGGAGGCTCAGTGCTGAACTCAGGAACCATCATGTACAGCTCAGTCTTACCCCTGGACTTTCCTTCAGTCATGGCTGTATAAGCCTGGCCAACTGAGTATTTTACCACAAAACTTCCTACCTACCCAGTTTATGTTTGACAGTATTTCAGTCACTACTACTGAGCCTCTACAGGAAGCCAAGGTACAAAGCTCCAAGTAGGAATTAATTAAAGCTGAATCAATTTGGTTATTAATACTGGTTATTAATAGATAACATATAAGATAAATTTGGTTGTTAATAGATAACACATAAGAAGTATTTTCTAAATTTCTGCAGCTAGTAGTTAAGCTGCAAAATCATAAACATCCTCCCTTTGCATAATTGCACCAAGCTGCAAATTGCACCAAGCTGCAAAGTTGCATCTCAGATGGAAAAGTTGGAGTTCTTGAAAAAAAAGGAAGGTAAGGGTATCTGATATGCTAGTTTTCTAGCAGCTGCTTAGATACCTAGCTTCAATTTATTGCTGTCTGGGGGAGCAACCCTCTCCCAGTACTGGGAGAGGCTGTCTTCCCATGAGAAAATTGTGCTGCTGGGGCAGGAAAACCCCTATGGTTCCCTGCCTTTTGAGATATGGCATGTCATTCCCTCAGTGGGGTTTCCCTCCTTTAGCTGGTCCTTGTCAGGTTCTAAGCCTCACTCACTCTCTCTCAGCCCCTCATGAACAAGCATGGGTAGCATGAATAAATAGCAATTACATTGACCATCTCAGACTTTTCACAAATTTTGTGTTTTCCTGTCTTAAAGTCAGGAACTTTCTTTAGTTTTCATTTTTGCTTGCATGTTTGTTTTGTCTGCAGGAGTATTCAGCACTGCCACAGCAGAGCAAATTAAATTTGAAGGAGAAAATATGGCTTTTAACCCACAGAAACAATGAGGGCATTCACAGCAACTACTGTACACATCCATCTACTTTAAGGATGGCCATCTACTTTAAATCTAGACAAATTCCAAAAATGAGGTTTCATGTTTCCTCTCTTCTCTTTACTGAGGGTGATTCAACATTTTTTGGAAGAAATATGGTGCCTCGTTTTATGATCAGTACAATTTTCACAAAAGTGAAAAGGCAGAGTGAAGAGACAGACTGCTTGAAAGGCAGTCTGGAATTCTGCAAGTATTACAGCTTTGGAAATACATTGTTTTTGTAGCTGGCAAAAGATAGACATCATCCAGCAAAAGCTTTTCTGGAATTTTTATTGTGATAATTTTTTTTAAACTTGAATTTAAATAAGCCATTTAAGAATAGAATTGATCATAATCTTTCTGTTTCTCTATAAGTCAAAACTGGCATGCAAATTGTGGATCTTGGAAAACACACTGCATACAGATTCATTGCTGCATACAGATAATTAAAATCTAAATAATATTTCAATACAGTAGCCACAATAGTCTTTATGATCATTAATAATTGAAGAGTTTGTAAGTCATTAAAATATAATGCATTCATTATTTTCCTCAGGTTGACTAGTGCATTACATGATGTGATGTATTTATAATTCATATCCTTCCTTGCTTGAGTTGTACTTCCTTTGGCCATGATAATAACAAAAATAGGCTACTTGTCCTTTTTTGTCACATGTAAGATACTAACATCAAGCAAGTACCACAGTTGTCCCTTAATTAAGTGTGATAACCAGTCTAATTTAGTGTCCTTTTGTCATTCATTTATCATCACTTTCACTGCTCATAGTAAGATTTCTTATGCTAATTACCAACTATGATGCTCCTAAACTACATAGATGTGTAAATACTTCCTAGCAAAACAGTTCAGCATTTCTTACAGCTTATTTTAAAAAGACGTTGATGAATGCATGGGTAACAATTGTCTAAAATAATGTGAATTTATCTCTGGTCAGGTAAACAGTGCATTTTATGGGTTCTGCCCTTCAATAGCTTCAGTAGTCAGAAAGGTAAAGAGAAGGCAGATATTAAAGACAAGTTCCTTACCCCAAAAAGAGAGAAATTCAGAGCTCTCCCCTCACTGTTTTACCACACTTTTTTTTTTTTTTTATAGAATATGTGGAAACTGGATAATCTTTTGACACTACATTTTTTTCACCCTTGTGCATTAAGGTCTCTTGACAAATACAACATCACATAAAGGAAATGACAGTGATGTTTCCCCTACTACAGTATGTGAATTGCAAATAATCTTATTGTTAAGTGTACAACATGCTCAACACCTCAAGAGGGTGTGCTTACAATGAGGGTAGGGATAAAGATATCAAGATTTGTGTTAATTAGAGGATTATAGTGCAGTTCTTGTAACAAAAAAGGTGGAATAAAGAGAAACTCTGTATTAGACTGTTCTAAAGAGATCCTTATTATTAGAGATGCAGGTGCCATTGCTTGTGGTGAAAATAAAGGTATTTATTTTGAGCAGATCAGCAGTACAGCAGGAATAAATGGAATTGGGTCATTATATGTAAATTGAAATCTAACTGCAAGGGTAGAGCGCTTATACATGAATTCATAAACTCCAGACCAAATGAATTGGTTAGAGATCAGCAGCCATATGAATTTCTCACTAAATGTCTCTCACCCCATTGACACTTTTTTCAGTACTCCATATGCTAGATTGCAAACTACAGATTTAGCCCTTTTGCCCAAAGGCATCCGAACCTGTGAAAAGCCTAGCTGAAGCAGTGTCTATTGTTCATTGACAACTTGTCAATTTACTTCCAGGCAAAATAACTCATAAACATGATAAGTAAGGCAGATAAAACAAGAATACTTTCACACTTTGTAACTTCACTGCAAAAATGCCTTGTTTTTCATAAACGTGTGAAATCTCCCCTCAGAATTGTGACTGTGCACTGAACTTTAAAACTGTGTGGAAACCACACATGCATCTCACGCTCTCTGTCTATAATAAGATGAATGTTAAATATTAAAGATGCAATAAAAGTGATAAAATGATAGATATTCAAAGGCTGAACAACATTCTCATATCAGTAGCTGATAATAATATCACTAGCTGAGTTAATAAAAGTTCATTTTAGAGAAAAAAACACCAAAAGACAAATGTTTGAATACCAGTCTCTAAACTGACATTCGTATATTTCTTTAATGGTTATTATGTAAATCTTTCCACTTCTGGAACCATATAAAACTCCTTTACTTCATAGACAGTGGCAAAGAGCATTAAATAGAAATCAATGACATACCAATTTAAAACATGGTCATACAAATTGCTTCCTACTACTCAATAACAATGATATTTTTCACAAAAGATATTTAAGTGATTAAATTTTTATACATTGCCATACAGACAATTTTGCAATCACACACTCAGTGTTTAGTTGACTGCACAACCACACACACAAATTATTCACAAGGAAAACTTTGTAACAAGTTGCCAAAAAGCAGCTATAGAAATGATATTATTGCACATGCCATTAGGCTGAGACCATGTTTATAGTGCTAAAAATATTACTTTTTTCCCCTCCAAGATAACTGGCAGTTTTCCCTTTGTTAATTTTCTTTCTCTTGACACGTGGTAAATTTGTAATTGCATGGGAACATAGTTAGATGGTCTTTTCTGTGAGAAGGGTTACTTCCTCCAGCACACTCTAGTTTTGACCTCTGATGTGGTGTTTCTACAACATGAAAAATAGGTGCTGTGAAACAGTCAGACTAAAAATTGAAAAATAATGCTTAATCTTGTGGTGGATTGCTGTTGGGCCATTGGTGCACCCATCCAGGTGCACTGGGGCATGCCACTTTGCTGGGGAGGCCCAGAGCCCTCAGAAACCTCTAGAAAGTCATGATGGGTCAAGCCTAGTAGAAAGGCCAGTTGCTTGTGACATGGCCCATCTCTACTCCAAAACTTATGGTTGTCCCCATTAATTAGTTAAGCTGGGAAATGGAGCCACTGGGACGTGGTTACTTTCCAAATTCTCTTGCTCTTAGAAAGATTGGGTGGATCTTTGGATGAGGGGAAAATAGTTAGGACCTGTTTCCTGGTGAATTACTGCTTTATGAGTAGCCAGAGCCCATGAATGAAAATGTGATTTTTTTCCCCCCTTGTTTTCCAGTTATATTTGACTGTGCCGATGAAGAATGTCAAGCCTTTAACTTCTATTTTGAGTAAGAAATTAGAGTTAACAAACATTAAAATTGCAAACAAATATTAGTGAGACATTTTCTCTTAACCCAATCATAATAAAGATCCAACTTAAAAAGGAATGCATTATTTATATTTTATTAATATTAGATGATTCTTTGCTATGTATAATTAGAAGAAAAAAGGGAAAGAGAATTATGAATGCATCATCAGCTATT